GAGCAAGATATTTCAGAGAGCACATTTCTACCCCCAGGTGACCATCCTGGTTGAGGTGGAAGGAGAGGTCTGTCGCCCTGCCCAGAGGCTGCCATGGAATTATCTGTGCTAAGCAAGTTTCACCCAGGCCAGAATCAGAAGGGAGCTCTAGCCCAGGCTTCACGGCGGCGCTTGTGACCAGAAATTGCTGCTGGTCGAAATGTGCTCGCGCAATCAGACCTGGTGCGTGCCGCGGCGAGTCTCGGATGCCTTGCCAAAGCGACTGCCAACAGATCCATGGCCAGTGACACCACCAGGCCGTGGTGTCGCGGCAAGCCACAACTGTCAACAACAGCAAGGCACGCGTTCGACGCCCAGCTATCAACTAACTTGCTCGGGAGGGGGTTGTGACTCGATCATTCAACGATCTGGATCGGTCGAGTGGCGAGGGCCATTCCGAGTCTTCGTTGAGGAAGCAACGACAACTACGCATGCTCGCACATTTTCACAAGTACATTTGGGTTGCGCTCTTCATTCTCCATTTCCCCAATCCAGACACTCTACAGCGATACCCTATACCAGCCTCAGCTCGAGATCTGGTCTGCATTTCTTTTTTCATCATTGAAACAAACCAATATCAGCATAGACATACGAACAAGTTCTATATCAATGTTCAGGTCCGGCAAAATGATGGTCCCTCCAGAGTCCACCAGCAGCATTATCCTTCGTCGCCAGCATGGACACAGGAGGTAGCATTTGTAGAACCTTTACGAGCGGGGGTACATCGCCTCTCGTTGCGCATTCGCGGGCTGTTGCGTTTCTTGTCATCTATGTGGTTATTTCTCTCGGTTCCTCCAACACGCTCCCAGTCAATACCACTTTATTCTAAAGCCCACAAGTACCCTGCTTAACACACTATAGCGCCAGTTAATTAGGTCTCTTATATATATAGTCTAGGTCGCCCTCGTATAAACAATCTAATCAATGAATACTACCTACTGTGCAGATGTATGGGAAGCGACGCGAGAGTCTTAGACCCCTTTTTGGGAGAGGTAAGAACAATGCTGGAAGACTGAAAACATGTCCAGTAACATTATCTGGAGTTTGGTAACGTTGTCCCACAGAAATCGACTGCTGGAAACAAAAGAGCTGGCGCCATTGGGGCATCCTGCGGCTCTGGACTCAGGGCTATCGCAAGACACCCTGCAGAGCGCCACCATCGGCCTAGGAACAATCAACTGGCGCAGATTCTGCCGACCTAGGGAGGCGGCCAATACCTTCACTCATATCCGCAAGAATCCCAGATTGGATCCTGTCCCAAGAGTCCAATACTCATGAATCCAGGCTGGGGAGATGGGCATTGATCGATCGGCTGTTCCGACTTCATCAGCTCCTTGAGACCGACCCGACCACATTGTCAGTCAGCGTCACGTTCGACCGAAGGATGAGCAAGTTTCCCTTTCCAATAAGATGCCAGGCACCCCAGGCTAGAAATACCACGGCTAGTGGCCCTGCAGGCCTCGGCGAAGCACTTCCAAGATGAGCTTGTTCAGACCCACACTGTCCAACATGCAAGAGCAACATTCCAGACACTGAAGCGATGGCAAAAGAGTCCACGTCGAGAAAAGATCGGTCGGGTACCTCACCGTCTCTGTACCAACACCTCCTTCTCATCAACTGATTGCACACACGTCCACGTCTTGGCAGTGTGGACCATCTATGGCACAACCGACCATGTATAAAGACTGTCCGTGGGCCCAGTTCCCTGCTCATGGTGTTACCACCGTTGTAGGCAGTCGTCGGCACCATTAGTCATGAAATACCTTCTTTTGCTGGCGCTGAGTTGGGCCACGAGTGTAGTAGCTACTGGCCCACTACCAGTCACGAGAAGTGGCTTGGCCGGCATCGCGGGATTCACTTTTTACAATCCGTATTGTGGCCATGGCTGCTTCCGATCTTTCTCGCCTTACAAGTTGCAATGTTCCTCGACCATCAGCGCTGGAGGGCTTACCACCGCGGATACAATTGCGCATGAGCTAGCCCTTTGTCGTGCATCGGATTTCCCCTACCTGAGTTCTATTGCATGGTGCATTCGCACGTTCTGCCCCGAAAATGTCCGGGCGTCGACCATCGAGAAGTTTTGGGAAACGCAGATCACAGGAGATGCTAAGATACTCCCAAAATGGAGCTATGGCGAGACGTTGGCGAACATCACCAACCCCCCCACTGTGGTGGCATCGGGCAAGGATCTTGTGCTAAACATGACCATGGTCACGACTTACACCACCTGGAAACTCACCCAGGATACCTTGATATACTTTTTCCGTGAAAGCGCCCGGGAATCATACTATGGGTACGTGGTTGCTCTTATCGTCTCTTCTCGTAGTGTCTCAGCGGTGCAAGTCAGATCCAATATCGCGACTCTCTGTTTCATTGCTAATGAAGATCCCTCCTGACAGACTTGCGATTCTGCTCACAGCCTTCGGTCTGCCACTTGTGCTGACCTGGCTCGGATATCTCCCATTCATGACTGGTTTCACGGACCACATCAAACCATGGCTTTATCAAAGTATCGTCGGGACTTACCACGATCGACCTCTTCCCTTCTTAATTGGTAATGTGCCCACTCTTGGGCAGAGCGGTTACATCGCCGTGATCGTCATACTAAACATTGTCTTTCTCACCATCGGCTATGAGACATTGTGGCCGAATGAAGAGATGCAGTGGTACGAAAATCACTACCAAGAACTCATGGCGTACTGGATGTGGCGCACTGGTGCTCTAGCATTCTGTCAACTCCCAGTCTTGTTCCTGTTCTCGAGCAGGAACAACATCTTATTATGGCTAACCAATTGGTCCCACTCAACCTACATGCTGCTCCACCGATGGGTCGCCCGGCTCTTCCTCATCCAAACTCTTCTCCATTCAATTCTCTCATTGGTATTATACCAAGACGACGGCCATTATTCTTCCACAGTGGATACACCGCTCTGGTATTGGGGCTGTGTGGGTACGGTCGCAGCGGTCATCATTGTCCTCACCAGCTTTCTTGTCATACGCCAACGAGCGTATGAGCTGTTCCTACTCACACATATCGTCATGGCTGTCGTCTGCCTTGTGGGATGTTGGTATCACGTCTGGGCCGATGACGAGGGAGACTTCGGCTACGAGACTTTCCTATACGCAACGTTTGCTGTCTGGGGCTTTGACCGACTGGCTCGGGTGGGACGAATCTTGAAGACGGGAGTGAAACGGGCCGTCGTGACCGACGTCGGCGACACTATTGCTCGCATCGATATTCCAGGACCTCGGTGGTCTTCGCCGGGGCAGTGCGTCTACGTCTACTTTCCGACGCTTCATCCTTTTCGACCTTGGGAGAATCACCCCTTTTCCATTATCCCCACTGCTGCTCTTACCGGGCGCCCCAACAACGACGGTCCGGTGCCAACCACTCTCGCTGACCTAGAAAAGAACCGCCCAATCACTGTGACTCCGAGACCTTCAACTCAGCATGAAGCCTACAAGAATTCAGGCCTAACACTGTTTATTCGAAAGAAAGCAGGAACGACGCGATTCTTGAAGACACGGAACGAATTGGTCACACTACTCGAGGGCCCTTATCCTTGCAATCCTACCAAGGAAGTCCTCCAGAGTGACCGGCTGTTGCTAATCGGCGGGGGGATAGGCATCACTGGACTGTTAGCGTTCGTCCACCGTCACCCGAACGTGAAACTCTATCACAGCGTCAAGGCGGACGATGTTTGTCTGGTTGAAGCTTTGGCCAGTTTGTTGGACCAAATCCGCGACAAGGAAATCGTCGTCGGGCAAAGATTGGACATCAGCGGCTTGTTGAAAGATCAGGCCGATCTCGGATATTCCAAGATGGGGGTTGTCGTGTGTGGACCACCTGGTATGTGTGACGATGTCAGGGTTGCTGTCGCCCGACTTGCCAGAGAGAAATCAGGCCGCTGTTCGTTCGAGCTTGAGGTTGATACATTTGGGTGGTAGGCTGAGAGCGGGCAAGGCATGTCCAAGAGTCGACGCGATTCATTCACTCTAGATATGCAGACACTCTGACCTCTTATTGCAAATGGGATGATGTCACGATGAGCACCTAAAGGAAGGTGACAGGGCTGAGGCTGAGCCAAAGTTGAGCCAAGCACTCAAGCACGTTACCAGATTTCTAGTAAAGCGGCAGGGGACGGTCCCAGGCGGATGCCAAGGCCAAGAGCTTTGTCGCCGCTGAAAACCGTTACATTAGGCCTATCCTTTTCTGCTAATTTTCTCTAAGTAACCTAGATAGACCTAGACTAACGTAATCTGGAGAAAAGGAACTTTTATTATTATGACTATAACGTTAGCTAGAACCGGTAGGATAAGTTATAGGTACTATAGGCTCAGCCGAGGCGATAAAGTACTTAACTATAGGCGGGTGCCGGGAACCCGGCCGGCCCTGCCCTAGTTGCCTAGATATGAGCGCGACTGATCCGCTGCCTAGGCCGAACTCTACCACGCTCAGTCACGTGCGGGAGTATCTTGGGTTGACGTAGCGAGGCGCAGGGCCACGCTCAGGTCCCCAGATGGAAATGCAAAGTCCTCGTATCGAGATTCCGACGTCGAACAGCCTGTCTCCTCGCGGGGCTGTGCTTCTCAGCCTCCTTTCCCATCCAAAGCTTTGCTTGCGCCCTTTAGCTCTTCTCGTTGTCAATCTAAACATTTCTAGGCGAATGATACCAATTCATCGAGATTGATCTTGCGGTACCCGTTCAATTTCCTTGTCGAGTCGTCTGACTCAAAAGTGGTCTTTTTGACTGCTCCATCAGGCTGGCCACAGCTCGCTTAGGCCTCGCGGCTAGTGCCGCCCTCTCTGCCTGGCGAGGTCAGGCTGGCTGTAAGGATTTCAGCTGCCCATCAATAACCTGTCAACACGCAGACTTGTTATAGTTGAGTCACTGGTATGAGCCACTTGGGCTGCAATATCGCTGCGACCCAAATTCACTCATTAAAAAGGAAAAGAAGGTATGGACGACCGCAGAGACAATATCGGCGGAGGTGGTGGTCGCTGGTACGGCCCTCCACCACCGGATCTGTCCCTCCCACCACCTCCGACCAAGATGCGCCGCAAACAGCGTCGACAGCCTCCGCAGGAGACGGTAAACCAGTTCTGGGACCAACTGAACCCCCGACATCCGGGGAAAGTCTTCACCCTCCTCCCCAACAACCCTTACGCCCGCAAAAAGGCGGCAAAGACCCCGCATGGCACCGTCTCTGGCCAGCGCGCTGCCAAGTCGTACGAGGAGGCCCGCGCCGAGTGTGTCAGGGACGTCGACAGGATCGTCAGAGAGTGTAGGCGACTGAACCAAAAGTACCGTGACATGCATTTCGACATCGAGTGGGATCTCAAGTCCGGCCAGCGGAATTGTCTCGACGGTCTCAGCACGCCCGGTGATTCCATGAAGCCAAAGGGTGTCAGAAGGGTGACGGTGAGTTTTCTTTTGCCCCCTCCCATCATTGGTTTGGTCCTTGTTCCCGTCGTTGCTTTGGTTGGAAATCTCGCAAAGCTGTTTTTTCCCTTGGGGCGTGCTAAGAGAATGTGGCTTAGGACATCTTCGAGAAGCCCGAATTCTTCATCAAAGGTCCCACTGCCGGCGACGTAAGGCAGGGACGTGATGGCGATTGCTATCTGATGGCGGCCCTGTGTGGGCTGGGCAATATGGAAGGGTTGATCAACCGAGTCTGTGTCAAACAGGACATGGACGTTGGCGTTTACGGTTTTGTCTTCTTTCGAGGTAAATAATCTACTCACGGCACCGTGCATCTCCTTCCTCTCCAGTGCCAGAAGAGAGGTCAAAGTTCATGTGCTAAATCTATGTGTTTCCCTAGATGGCGAGTGGCAACATACTATCATCGATGATAAATTATATAGTAAGTCTTCCTTCTTCCGCCCCCAAGTATTCACGATGATTAATTCCTGGGTGTCTCCAGCTAGAGCGCCCGATTACGACGAAGCTCAGGACGAGCGGGTCGTCTGGGACGACATCAACCGCGTCGACAGCGCCGAGGAATACCGCAAAGCGCACCTGACGGGCTCGAGAGCACTGTACTTTGCACAGTGCAGCGACGAGAACGAGACCTGGCTCCCACTGCTTGAGAAGGCGTACGCCAAGGCACATGGGGATTTCGCGTCCATCGACGGGGGATTCACTGGCGAGGCCATCGAGGACCTGACCGGCGGGGTGACGACCGAGATATACAGCACCGACATTCTCGACCGCGAAGCCTTCTGGCGCGACGAGCTCATGCAGGTTGGCAAGAAGTTCCTGTTCGGCTGCGCCACGGGCTTCTTCGCCAACTGGCTCGACACGACGGGGGCGCCGCGCGAACGCGAGGGCATCGCCGAGGGCCACGCCTACAGCATCATGGACGCGAGGGAGGTCGAGGGCCAACGACTCCTGAAGCTCCGCAACCCGTGGGGCAAGAAGGAGTGGACGGGGAAGTGGAGCGACGGCAGCTCCGAGTGGACGCCCGAGTGGATGAAGCTGCTGGACCACAAGTTCGGCAACGACGGCATCTTCTGGATCAGCTACGACGACCTCCTCAAGAAGTACCAGCACTTTGACCGCACGCGCATCTTCGGACCCGAGTGGAACGTCACGCAGTGCTGGACCAGCGCCAACGTCGCGTGGTCGGCCGAGTACCACAGCACAAAGTTCTCTTTGACCCTGGAGGAGAAGGCGCCCGTGGTGATTGTGCTGGCGCAGCTGGACGACACCTACTTCGGCGGGTTGGAGGGCGGGTATGGCTTCGACCTCCAATTCCGCCTCGAGTCCGACGACAAGGAAGACGAAAACGACTACATTGTGCGGTCCAACGGGAACTACGGCATGGCCAGATCCGTCAGCACCGACATTGAGCTGGAGGCCGGCACGTACTCGGTGCTCATCAAGATCACCGCCACAAGGGACACAGAGCGTGAACATGTCGAAGACGTGTTACCCATTTATGCGGCTACACGACGCGAAAAGCTCATCCAGATGGGTCTCTCGTACGACCTGGCACACGCTAAGGGCGTGACTGTAGAAACCAAGGCGGAGCGGAAAGCACGCAAAGAACGCGAAAAGACTCGACGGGCCAAGGAGAGGCAGGAGATGAAGGAGCGGGCCAAGGCGCAGGCCAAGAAGCATTGGGAGAGACAGAAGAAAAGACACGAGCTGGAGAAGGTGAGGTCGGCCAGACACAAGGAGAGGAAAGAGAGGAAGAAGCGGGCAAATGGGAAAACCCGTCCAGAGGTAGTCAAGGTGGTCATCGTCGAGAGACAGGGGACCTTTGACAGCATGGCCAACGAAAATCCCGAGAGCAGGAGGGAGACCGCGACAATCCAGGACGGACACGCCGATAAAGTACACGACCCGAAGAGAGCATCTGACTCCGTCACCGTCCAGTCCTCCAACAACAGCTTTGTCACTGTGAGCACGAAGGGGCCTGCGGAGCTGTCAGAAGAGCCCATCCCGATCCTCGCCCCTCCAGAGAAACCTGCGGAAGAGGTCACTGCCGAGAATGTCGTCCAGCCTCTAGAAGAAGTGGTCAAGGTCGCCGACGCAGAAGAGCATGCGATCAAGGTGGAAGGCTCTTCGAGCACGAAACCCGCCGAGTCGGGGGATTCCCATGCTGGATCTAACGACGCGTCAGTCCAAACTGAGAGCTCGATTGTCATCACGGACATCAAACCGTTGTCGAAGCCGCCACCACGAACTGTGCCGGAGGCCGACACCTCGCAAGACGCAAGCTCAGACAACCGAGTCGCCGTCATCGCCAGACGCACGGACAGCGAATCTAATACGGCAAACGGCCCTCGTGGTGGGGCACCCCTGCGCAGCGAAACCCTGAACAGCACGGCCGCCATGCTAGGAATCGGAAGCGGAACCGATAGTCGCGAGTACGACGACATCCACGACGGCGACCAACTCCGAGACTCGGACATTGATCGCTACCACGACGCGAACCGAGAACCCGATGAGGACGAGGATAATCAAGATAACGACAACAACGACCGAGTGTCCAACGCAGACTCCTTCCCGCCCTTTGACTGGAACTCGGAACTCGACATGAGTCCCTACACGAGCAGCGACGATGACGACTCGGACACTTCGTCAACGCACACCTTCCCTCCAGGGCTCGGTCGACGGGGGACCAACGTCCGCCGCGGCCGACGCCGCTCTCGCTCCCCGCTGCTCAACCCGCCCATCGAGATTGACGACCCGGGCGCGAAGCAAGCGGGTGGTGGTGGGGCCGACGACACCGGCGGCGACGGGCCCAATGAGCCGTGGAACGCGGTCTGCGTCGTCGGGTTGAGAGTGTACTCGACGTTGAAGGGCGAGGGGGTCAAGTTGAAGATTGTGCGGCCGAGCGAGTTCTCCGACGATGATGACGACAACACTGCGGATAAAGGCGGAGAGAAGAAGGATAAACACGACACCACAGCCACTACTACGGGCAATGACACGAGCGAATCCGCAGAAGCAGACGCAGACAAGAAACCCGCCGTCGAACCGATCCTCGACCCGGACGATATCTCCAAGGGCGCCGTGGCCGTCGAGCCTGAGAGCACCGGCGCCGTTGTGGCTGGGGAAGTGCAAGTCCGTGATCCGGCAGATCGGATGAAACTAGGTGCTCGCGACAGCGGTAGCGGTAGCTCCAGAAATAGCAGGACCATGAAGCTGGGTTTCCCTCCCCCGACGGAAGAGAGGGTGAGCACGAACACGCGGAGAACGAAGAAGGAGAAGCAGCTTGCGCGAAGATGAAGATGAAGATGAAGACGAAAATGAGGTGTTTGGATACCAAAACAAACGACGACGACGATAACGATCATGAACAAGGCGACAGATAACTGAGACGATAGCGACGATGCGGGTGAACTGAAATTGAGCGGCACATGTCATGTCAATGACAGGATCGGTAATCTAAATTGCCAGAGGGATGGGATTATAGTAACAAACGAGACGCTATCAAGGGTGGGATGGATGGAGGTGGAAGATGTGGGATTCCATACTTTTTTTCTCTTCTCTCGATGTTTTCTCTTTTCTTCTCCTCTATACTATGCTATACTATCCTCTCCTATCCTATCCCATACCATACCATACTGAAAGTATACTTCCAGTACCGATATATGTATGCACTCACTTGCAAGTACGAGTTTCTCCCTCATATTCTGAGTATTGCCGCAGGGCGAGATCGATCGATCGATCCATTGGTCTGTGTGGTCCATGTCATTCTTTATTGTTATTGTGTGGAGGTAATATCTGAGGAGTGACTGAGATGTGGATCCGGTCTGGTCTCTCGATACAGCCAGCCGTCTCGTCGAGAGACCGGACGGGACCGGGACAATCTCAATCTCAGAGCATGCAACTTCGCCTGCGCCTGTCAACTTGTTGTGGCACCACATACAGATATCTCATTCGAGCCGGCACGTTAGGTTGTGAGAAGCCCTCAATCATTCACAATATCCTGGTGGCTGGATAGCTGGCCTGCCCTGTCCATCGAATATCCCGATAACAGCATCAAGAGGATAGCGAATCATCGGTGAGCTGTAATTCGATGGCGAGTCGAGTGTATCGTCGTCCCGATAGTAGAGATTTGTCCCAGTTTCGCCCCTTAACACTGTCTTCCCATCCGATTCTCGATCACATCACTCTTCCGTCTCTAACAAGCTAACGTGGCACCGGATGAAAGTACTGTACAACACGGCCGTTGAGATCGCACAAACGGTGGTTGGACAGCTATTCATCTTGTTCAGAGGACAAGGTGCAGCGCACGAGTCTTCTCGAACTCCACATGCAACCGTCACTGCGGAGGTGAGGAAGATCAATGTCGCCTTGTCCCTGACTTCCTACTCTGAGCCATACTTCGATCGTTCCCTGCAAAGGAACCCGAAGCGTTAAATTCCCCGCTGCTCCCTGGAGCACGGAGCCAGTCCTATAATGTTTTTGGATGCACATTTCCAACTCTTTGTTCCTGTCATCTTTACCCAAGAACCTTCAGTCCACCCTTTGTCTTGGGTTGTTTCTTTTGCACACCACCATGCTCGACCTTTCCATGCCCACCCGCTCCACCTTTGCCCTTGTGGCCGGAATGCTTCTGGTTTGTGGGTCGTACATCCGTCACAGCTTTTTTCACCACAATTGGATGGCTGCCAACATACTTCCCGTTCATATCTCTTGCAGCTCGGAAGTAATCGTCGCCATCAGCGAAACTCACGAACCCATACCCCTTGGATTTGGTAGTGCGTTTGTCTCGGATCACGCGAGCTTTCTGGACAGAGGGATATTGTGCAAATGCTTTTAAGAGCGAGTCATCGGTTACTTCGCCTGCGAGATTGCCAACGAATATACGGAAATGTGCCGGATCCCACTCCAGGAGAGTCGGATCAGTCCAGCTTGTACCGCCACCGGAACGGTAGACTGTTTTAGCGACATCGTCTTTTTGTTGAGTTGTGGGCTCTTTATGTGACGTATTCGTTACTGGGTTTGTGTTTGGAGGGGCTCCCCCGGTCGGTTTGGGTGTGGACGTGGTACTCGCATCTCTGCTCACGTATGCGCTTTGCCATTGTTGAACCTGAGCCTCGTAGTCGGCATCGAAGCCCGAATATGGGTTCGCCGAGGAAGACGCCTCTGGCGTTGGCACGAAAGGGTTGCGGATCTGGGGAGCGCTCGAGTACGTTGCGTCATATTGAGGAAGTGATGTGGGTTGCGGATACTGTGCAGCCGGACTGTAGGTCGTTACGGGGGTGGTAGTATAATGAGCTGGACTGCTGGTGCGATACGAATTCGCTATCGACCTTGGAGCGAATGCAGTGAAGGCCGGCTTCGCAGTGGCGGCGCTCGAGGATGGTTTGAAGGCTGGTGAGGGGCCGATTGCAGAGGGCGGCGGTCGCGCAGGGAGTGAGGCCGGAGGTTGAGAAGTATTGAGACCTGGAGGGGCCGGATACGACATGATGAATGTTTGATTCTGACAGTGAACACCACTGGTTGATTAGACGTACCAGAAACCTCACAAGAGGTTAGTCTTGGACCAGCGCAATTGGTTGTAGACGACTCTCAAAATGCTTCGTGTAGATGAAAATCCAATCGCTGCAGAGATTACACGCTGTAGCAGGATATTTGACAGTCTGAAGTAGGCTGAAGGTGGTGAGTGGGTGGAGGTGTACGAGGTAGATCTATCGAAATCTGTAGAAAAGTGTTTGGCTATCAACCACCGAAGCCTTGTGAGGTCGACAGGCCCGACTGCCAACCGAGAGACCTACCTGGAACAGCAGGTCTCCCGAAGACACTAGGTCACATATAGCGTAGTCACATGAGATTGACACGTGATAAGTCTTGGCATGAGCGCTTGGGGCGGAGGCTGTTTGTTAGCCAGGCTCCGAGATCTTAGTCATGTCGAGCATGGGAGAATAGGAAGTCGATCAGATAAGAGTTCAGCAAAAGGTTCAACTTGAGGCGTCACACGTGGGCCGATCACTCTTGAATGGAGAACAGTGCACAGTGCATTCTTCGTTCTACTCGTCTGCGGGCAGGCTCCTCTGCGACGAGGCGCAACCCCGGTTGTTTTCGGACACCTCGGAAGAACCATCCCGGAAGTCGCAGTTGGCCATCAATCGTGGTTCAGGTGTTGGATCTCTCTGATGTGGAAGAATGATTCAATGCTGAGTCACCTCTCTCCTGGTTATTCACGAATCCCAGAAGCACATGGTCTTGAGCCAGATTGTTGCTGGCTTATTGCATCTGGTTCTACGATATCTACGTAATCTGCAGCAATAGCAAAGACTCTTGATTGGGGAACTGACCGCGCACCGATGAGTGGTCAAGACGGCTAGTCCCAATGGCACAAGTAGTCAGCCGATGGAGGGCGACTCAGTACCCAAAGCTTCCGAACAAGTGCTGGAATAGTGGGTGACTGCGGTACCAACTGCCCCTCCAACGAGAAGAAATTTGTTTGGTGGGGTTGAGGCCGTGCCTGAGCGGTAATCCATGCCCATTGCCAGCTGGAATCGACATATTATTACTGCCCTTCCCCTGGCTGCATCTTTCTCTTCTCTTTCTTGACGTTCGTGCCTCTCGTCTTTTTCGGTGCATTAGACAGAGACTCGATTGCTGCTTTCATACCTGCTCCTCAAATCCTGTTGAACCGTCTATTCATACCTAGATTTGTTTAGTCTTCACTTCAACTCTACCGTCAACATGTCTGGTCCAGTGTACGTCCTTCCTCCCTTGGTTGCGCAGGCACCCCAGTAATTTTCTTTCTCCCCTTTTCTTCTACCAAGAATACACTGCAAAGCGTTGTTCACCGCGGCATAAGGATACACCCGATTGACGAACAGGATGCTGACTTTAGAGCGCGACTGGCTGGCCTCCAGGTCGGCCCAGCGCAGGCCGAACCCAGTGGTGATTTCGGTCTCATTGGCCTTGCGGTCATGGGCCAGAACTTGATCTTGAACGCTGCCGACCACGGTTTCACCGTTGTTGCCTTCAACCGAACTGTTTCCAAAGTTGACCGCTTCCTCGAAAATGAGGCCAAGGGTACGGAACAACCCCCGCCTGTACATAAGATCGTACTAACCGACCGTGCGCAGGCAAATCCATTGTCGGAGCCCACTCGATCGAGGAATTCGTCTCCAAGCTCAAGAAACCCCGCCGCATGATGCTCTTGGTCATGGCTGGTCCTGCCGTCGACGACTTCATTGAAAAGCTACTCCCCTACTGCGACAAGGGTGATATCATCATTGACGGCGGTAACTCCCACTACCCAGACAGCAACCGCCGCACAAAATACCTTGCGGAAAAGGGCATTCGATTTGTTGGAACTGGTGTGTCCGGTGGTGAGGAAGGTGCCCGTTATGGCCCTTCTCTGATGCCTGGTGGTAACGAGGAGGCTTGGCCCTACATCAAGGACATCTTCCAGAGCATCGCTGCCAAGTCCGACGGTGAGCCGTGCTGCGACTGGGTTGGTGATGAAGGTGCTGGACACTACGTCAAGATGGTCCACAACGGTATTGAATATGGTGATATGCAACTGATTTGCGAGGTAAGTCGACTCGACGCCAACTGCTGGTGGGGTTTGTATCTCTAACCAAATTCAGGCCTACGACATTATGAAACGTGGTCTCGGTATGAGCTACCAGGAGATGGGTGACGTTTTCGCCGAGTGGAACAAGGGTGTTTTGGACTCGTTCCTGATTGAAATCACTCGAGACGTCCTTCGCTACACCGACGATGATGGCTCGCCACTTGTTGAGAAGATTCTTGACTCTGCCGGTCAGAAAGGTACCGGCAAGTGGACCGCCATCAATGCTCTTGATCTGGGCATGCCTGTCACTTTGATTGGCGAGGCCGTCTTTGCTCGCTGCCTCAGCTCCATCAAGGAAGAGCGTACGCGTGCTTCCAAACTACTTGATGGTCCCAAGCCCTCTTTTACTGGGGACAGGGCTGCTTTCCTCAAGAACCTCGAGCAAGGTCTCTATGCTTCCAAGATCATTTCATACGCTCAGGGTTTCATGCTAATGCAAACTGTAAGTCAATGGCGGAGTTCTCTTGGTTCTCTATACTAAGTCGATGTGACAGGCTGCCAAGCAATACGGATGGAAACTCAACAAGCCATCCATTGCCCTCATGTGGCGTGGTGGTTGTATCATTCGATCGGTTTTCTTGAAGGACATTACCTCGGCCTACCGTTCTGACCCCAACCTCGAAAACCTGCTGTTCAACGACTTCTTCAACAAGGCTATCCATAACGCCCAAGAGGGCTGGAGAGATGTGATTGCATTTGCCGTCAAGGCTGGTATTCCCATGCCGGCATTCAGCACTGCCTTGGCCTTCTTCGACGGTTACCGCACCAAGGATCTCCCTGCCAACTTGCTCCAAGCTCAGCGTGACTACTTTGGTGCTCACACCTTTTTGGTCAAGCCCGAGTATGCCAGCGAGAAGTATCCCAAGGGCGAGCACATCCACGTCAACTGGACTGGCCGTGGTGGAAACGTCTCTGCTTCCACCTACAACGCCTAGACGTATCGCCGTCTTTCTCTCCACCCTCTGCCTCTCTTTTGCCTGTCCTCTAACGTAGCGTGGAGAGACGGGACTTTGAACCCATGTCCGTGCAGGCTTTGTTGTTGTGCATGGCATATTTAGCTCGGAGGGCTTCAGGATTGCATCTTAGGCATAGATAGTGTTCATAATTGGGCCTTTTTTTTGTGCCTGGAAAATAAAACTTGATCCTGGGACCACGAGCTGCACGAGCTCCGGCTTTCGGTGAAACTCGAAGCTCCGATAGACCAATCATACGAGGCTCGTATTCCGCCCCAATTCGAGCGTCTCCGTTTCCCCTTCTCGCCAAATAACTTTGTCCACGACAACTGCGAACCGCACCCGTCGGTTGCGGCTCCTCGCGCTCATCAACTTTGTGAGTTGATTGACCACAGGCTTCATTTCTCTCTCTTTCGCTTCGCTTTCTTGTCTATTCAATTTCACAAAAGCATTGGCATAGGGCGCCTGGCGTATCAATTTGGCATTGGATTTTGCGCTCCGCAGCACTGTAACTGCCGGCACGAGCCTGGCCTGGGTCAGTGCCTTGTCTCGACCTTGACCTGATTTCGTCTATTCGTGGCCCACGCCGCAATTTTCTTGTGACTGTCCACATTCGCACTATCTGCGCGACAAGCACGGAGGGTGATAGCTTCTCGTGAAGGGTTACTGAGGACCTGGTCTTGTTCGAGTCTTTGCACGATGATGGCCGACGGTAGACGCCAGAATGCAGGAACAAGAGTGCCAGTGGCTCTGCCCAAGGGTGAGCAGACTCAGCCCGCAGCATCTTCGGTGTCTCAGGACGTCAGTTTGCAATTGGCAATTGGAAGCCGGTAAGACTGCGCTCGTCAAGATTTGCGTCTGTGGTTACTCACAACTGTCGCAGCGTCCGCCTTACCACCACCGCGCCGAACCAAACGACGGTAGAGGGTACTGTCTACACGGCTGATCCTCTGACCAACCTTCTCGTTATAACCACCACTGCCAGTTCTTCCGCTATCACCTCCTCTTCCCTCGTCGCCCCAGCTGGAACCTACCGAATCATCCCGATTTCGCAGATCAGCTCCTTTCAGCTGCTTTCTCTTCCTCAATCCTCGCCGGTCTCTGCGAACAGCTCGGCCCTCAACACAATCGACACCAATGCTGTGCAAGGGCGACTTGCAAGGAACATAGCCGCTCAACAAGCAGCACAAGCGCGCGTTGGTCCCAAAGGCACAAGCCCTATCGACCAAGCGCTGTTCGATGCCCTCTCGCGAACACATCCTGCTCGGTGGTCGGGTAACATGATGGTTGTCTCAGATACTTTCTTGATTGATAAACCATATGGCGCGGCCAATGTCCGGCACGCGGAGGGGAGAGACGGCGACCTGGATCGAATGAAGAAGGTGGTAGACATGGAGCGGCAGAAGATCACACTGAGATTTGCAAAGGGGTCACTCGACGGGAAGCTAGGATCAGATGTTTCGCCTGTCAAAGCGACGTCGCCTGCAGGCATGAAGAAGGGCGGCTGATGGGGATGGGTAGAGTCAAAAGGCCAATGTCTGGTATTCTATGAAGAGAGGAGAAAGCGAAAGGGACGGTTCATTGTGCGGAATCGCACGCAGGGCCAGAAACAAGCATTGACGGACTTTGAATATGAGCCGCATTGTTTGGAGTCAACATCAGGATATCGACCGGCGTCATACAGCGCTAACAAACTTTAGTGCAGCAGTTGACTGTAGCTTGTTCCGCCTGTTTGTGCCTTCGGGTCAATGATTCGGGCATTGATTTGGAAGCACCGAGTGGCGGAGTAGGCATTGATCAAGCAGGATAGCGCGCCACGATCTATCTCCATGAGAATTGGAGCGAGAATAATTCTCCAGGTCGTTGTGCACTTGGCTCAACCGGCTATGCATATAACCTATATTGGACTGGACCGGGAGACGTGGAAATACTGGCAAAATATGCATTCTACACCCAGTAAAATTTCCCTCCACTGCAGTACAAGTGCTTGTACCGAGCAGACAAGCCTATTGTGTGGGGCGGAGCGGAGCCTCTTCGGGGATTATGGAGACTCCCCCCCCCCCTCCCCCCACACACACCCCCTACGCGGGTCAGCCTCGTCAGAAGGAATAGTATGTCCAGACTACGAGGGTAAAGAGAAAATGAATGATGGATCAGTGAACGAGGAAGGAAAATTGTATCCTGGTTCCCGTGGCCTTTTATGTTTAATGTTTCACTGTAGACTCTGCGTAAATTTGAGAGTGTAATTTCATCACACTCCCCCCGGTATGGTTCCCTTTTGCTGCTAACTTGCTAACAATCGATGAATGAATGACCGAACCCCTCCCTCCCCTCTCCCATATATAGTTGTGGTTAGGTCATATCATGCCATGTCAGATCCAGTTCAGGCCAAGTCAGACCATCGCGCCACCGACTAACCCGACCACAGCGACGACAAAGACCTCTTGCGAGAGACCCTTTTGTCCGGCAGCGGCACCAGCACCGGCGCTGCTCGTTGCGCTGGCGACCGAGGCCGTCGCACTGGCTTGTGACCCTGATCCCGTGTCTGTACCTGTGGTTGTCGCCGCCGCGCCCCCGTCCCCGCAGTACTTTGAGCTCAGGGACATGATGTCGCTGGTGGAGGGGATGCTGTCGCCACAGATGGAGGTGTAGCAGCTATCGACGTCCGACATGTCAGTATATAGTGACCTCTAAAGGGGGGAGTGCAGCTCCATAGCTTGGTTGTGATTACCTGAGCGCAGCGCGGACATAGCTGCATTCACACGAGCTGAGGACTTTGAGATCGGTGAGGGTCGTGGCGCATTGCACGACGGAGCCGAGACATTGGAGGACAGATCTATACACCAGGAGATGGATGGATTGTCAGTGTTTTGTCGGATGGATAATGAAAGCAAAAAATGATATTTGGTCCGTAGGTGACTTTCGAACTTACGCGGGCCCGGGAGATCCTTCGGTGGTGCAGACCATCTGGGCTGACGCCATGTGGAGGGTGACGGCGGCGAGGGGCACGCTCAGCAATGGATGTGATAGTCTCATCTTGAAGATCACAACAGGGATAACCAGTGATACCAATCTGGAGACCAATGGAGCATATACCCAGTGGCAGGACGCAGGAGGTAGGTCTTTCTTCTTGCAAAGACAACAGCGAGAAATGGGTGGGAGAGATGGACAGATAGAGATCAGACATATATAACTCACACTCACACTCACGCTCACATAGCTGGTTAGACATCTGGGCAGAGGGGGTTTCTTTCCAGCCGATACGATACAGTATATGTCGTCGACGGACCATGTCTTATCTTGTCTCGTGCCATCCTATCCCGGTCCTTCTCATTTTCCACCACCCGTCCCCTGAAAGGGCCCGTTTCGTGAAACCGGAGCAGTTCTCACGAACATGACCATGACCACTCCCACGACGGTGACGGGACACGACAAGAGAGTTCGAGACACGAGGCTCGAGGCCCAGACTATACGAAAGTGGCTCGCTCGCCCGGCCAAAGGGCTGAGAACCATGGGACTCGCCTGGTCTTTAGGATCTGGCACCTGGCCAGCACCCAGTAAGGGCTGTGTGTGTGTGAGGTGAGTGGTACTTCTCACATCCAGTACTGGGTATATTAGATTTTTCCAGCACCCAAAAAGGATAAAGCCCCCTGAATACGATCGATTATTGCAATTTATTCCCAAAGAAGATGCCACTCCGTGCCGTCCTGCATGCAGATACGGTCAGTGTAGGGTTAGAGTCATGGTTGTATTCTGTATCAAATGTACCAAATTTTGTCAATCAACACGAGCAGCTCTCTTTCCTTCCCATCGGCGAATGAACTTGATGCCTTGGGTATCTAGAACCCAATGGTGGCTGGGAAGGACGGGGTTGGTACGGACTAATCAAAAGTCGAGGACAGCGTCGTGTCTGATATGCAGCCAAGAAAAGCTTCTCCATGACAAGTCAATCACAAGCCGCTATGAGGCAGTTTCCCTCAGACATGAGGTGTGTCGTCTCTCCCAATGGACTGACGTTCGACGGTTCGTGTTTCCTCGTGTGCGGCTGAGAACCTTACAAAGGTACCTCGTCCCTCTCCCACTTGAACCCTCGCCTTACCCTTGTCTCTAGGTATCCAGTCGCAACCACGACCTCTCCCCTTTTCCTTTCCGTTCAGCTGATCGAGCGAATACGAGAAGGGGTTTCTTTCCGCGTCAGTGCGTGGTTTCTTCCCCCAAAGAAATAGTCGATGGGGGAAAAGCATAAACGATGGTTCTGTATTGTCAAAAGGCCAGAAGCAAGCCACTTACATACTCGGGCGGCGGGTCTTGGATAGGATAGGGCTGCTTTGCTGCCGCGCTGCCTCGAAAACAGGTCTCCCTCGCTCGCTTGTGAGGTAAGGCGAGGCGAGACAAGGCAAGGCAGACTCGTATTCTGTGACTTTGTCTTTCCCATGTTGAAGGGTTGACTTTGATGCTAATACTATTCCATGTTGTCCATCCCCATTGTATCCATATTCCCGTGGCCACTGTCCACTTTCCATGGTACGAGACGCTCGAGGGTATCTGCAGACAAGTCTCACCGAGTTAGCCAGCACTTGTCCAATGACTAGCAGCAAGTTTGGTAGCTGACTGGCTAGCTACCTGGCCACCAACCCTTTCGATTTCGACGTCTGGGTGCAATCAACCGACCAACCGGTCCTCGATTTCCCCTTTACATTTCCATACCAACCCGCCTGTTCACATTCGTAACAGCACCAACGAAGAATGCTAAGCTCACTGCTTGAGCTGCTAAGCTTTTTGAGTTTCTCATGGCCATTGAGTCGAATGGGATGTCGGGACTTTTGAAGTCTACAGCTGCCAAAGGTCCGCTCTCGCGGTGTGGTATCGTTTTGGGACAGGCTCTGCTGGATGGTGAGTGGGATGAGCCGCAAGGAGCGGCTTTAGGAGAAGGGACTGTTGATGTGAGGCTGCTTGAGGTGGAGGAGGGAAAAAAGAGATATATAAATCTGCTTCTGGGGCCCACGGGGCAGTCTCTTCGGTAGTGCTTTGTTAAACCACGATGGCTACTAAAATCTACAGAATGATATGTCTTTCCCTTTTCTTCCTCTGTCTGGCCGTGGCAGACGCGGCCTGGATTGAAGCCCGCTCGAATCCCACCTTGCTCACGCCTCTGCAAGCTCACGGCCAGCTCATGAAGCGCGATCTCTCGACCCCTTCGAACTCTTGCCTGCCTGCTTTGGAAGCCACTTCGTGCGACGGCCTGACTGGCTGTGCCGGTACGTTTGACCCATCATCTTTTCGTCCTGTTGCGTGGTGCTGGGCTGACCACGATCCCCCCTCTTCCAGCATACTGCTGCCCGGCGGACCAAGAGTGCTGCAATGCGCTAGGCTGTCGACCCAAAGACAGTGTTAAGTGTGTGACGGGATACGCCACTGACGGCTGGCAATGCTGCGGCACCAGCTGGCAGTATCCCGCGAGCCAGGGAGCCATCTGCTGCGGCGGGTCGCAGGGCTACTGGTGTCCGGCCGGCTACCAGTGCGTTAAGCACCTCATTGTGCAGTATAGCTGCTGCACCGATGACTCGTGCAATGTCTACTGGAACGGCACCGACGCCGTGACAGTGTCTAGTTCGTCCTCGTCGACAACAACATCGCCGTCCGAACCCTCCCTCCCACCGGCCACCACCATCTCCACGCTTCCAGAAACCGTGCCACCGGGATCGACGACGCCGCCGTCAACGACAAGCAAGAAAAGTACATCGTCGAGTAAGACTAGCAGCGTTGCTCCAACCTCGACGCCAACCACGTGCAACCCTTCCGGCCCTCAACCGACCTTCGTCCTGCAACAGACGGCCAGCACAGCCAAGGAGAACGGGACCTACGCGCTCCTCTCCAAGGTTGGCGGCGGCCGCGACAAGATCTCCTTTGGCGGGACGGCGGCCAACGCGACAACCTTCACGTTTAACCAGGCGTGTGGCCTCGTGGGGTCTGCCAGCAAGGAAGTCGCCAACCTCCATCCGCCCGTCAACGCCACAGGCGCCGCCATGACCTTGTTCTTCGACGTGCCCACCAACATCACCGCGATGGGCTACACGACGGCCACGTTCGACGTGGCAGACAGCGCATTGGTGTGCAAGGTTCAGAACGTGGCCGAAACCTGGTTCTCCTGCAATGGGATACTCGCGGTCGGGGCAAAGGCCGGCAGCGGCTGCGTCAAGATTGGGTTGACGCCGCAGTTTGTAAAGGGCTGAATTGGGACCATTTGTTGTTTTGTATGTAGGATTCGTAATTCGTTTTTCCCTTAGTAACCATGCTTTCTACTTGTGAAGAGAGAATGACATATCACATCCTCTGGCTCCTAGCTGCATAGAGCGCACTGCTGAATAAAGCGTCCATCCCAACCATCCAATTCCATCACTAGACAGCCTATGCTATCCAAATCCTTGTAGAAGAGATTACCCATGCTTTCCAATGTAGCAGTGCTACTATAGTGGCAGTGTCCAATAAAGTATCCTTTCGAGTTCAGCATTCCAGCATTCCAATAGCAGATATTGATCGATGTTTGAGTATTGCCTCTGCCTTGTATTTCTCTCAGAAACTCAATCGCTGCGTCAACATCCAGTCTTTCCTCTCACGCTCCACCATATATAGACGCCATAGAGAAGTCTCAGCCATGGCACCGCCAACGAAAGGAACGCAATGGCGAAGAAATTGGCCAAAGGACCATCTCGATCACTGGAAAATTTGACGTCTTGACTGGTTCGGTATCCTCGGAGTGTCAGGAATCTGGCATTGCTCAGATACGCCTGGGACATTAGTAGCATTACCGTGACCACCGACATTGCCAGAAATCCTACCAAAATGTCCAGAAGGTGGTGCTTCTCTTGTACTTGCCTAGCAACCAGAACTCCTACTCGGTGCGCCAGAAGTTCTTGGAGGCAGTACAATAGAATGCCTTTGACAAATTCCCAGTGATGATGGGGAGAGACTGTTCTTGGTTTGTGCTTGACGTTCTGGTGCCTCGAAGGTTCCTCGCTTGGGGAGGGAACTCGAGGTTCGGGCTGCTCGACGGTGGTGCCAATTGATTCCGCAGTCTTCGCCTTTTTCATCGAACTATCCGCAGATGTTGAGGATATTAAGTCATACTCCATAGAGATGTCGTCGGGAGTGGGACGTTCGCTTTCTTCTGTCTGCTTCGGCGCTCCATCCGGCGCAAGAGGGATGTTTTCAACCAAGTGAGTCATTCTGAACTGACACACAAGACCGAGGAGGAATATCACGAGGGGGTAGATGGCAATGATCCAAAGGGTTGGGTTCTTGGTATCGTCAAGCCAGTCCAGGATTGACATGACTATTCGAGGTGTTCGTGTTATGCCTTGAGCAGATTTGTTGGAATGACTTTAGATGTTGGATCGAGAGAAGAGAGAACCATACACGAACAGCCTGGAAGATGAATACACTGTGGATGGTTGCTGTAAAGAATTGAGAAGTTGAGTTGAGTGACGAGGCAGGAGGGTGGCATTCCTGCCTGATGTGCCACATTCTGCCAAGCCTCATCACCACCAGGTTGAGCCTCGACAAATCCAGCGCTAACTCGACGTCGCAGGCTGCACCTCACAAAGAGCCATCATCCGCTTATGCATAAACGCCGAGGCGTATTTCTTCATTGTACTGGCCGGCAGTGCCCTCTTCGCGGCTATGTTGTCCTAACTCAATTGATTGGCGCAATGGCTGCGGTCGTCGGGTCTACAGCAGGCTATCACTCCTCCATCGGTATAGCATCTGTACGAGACTCGTTCCTCGAAGGCCACTAGCTGGTCAAAGAGTCTACTCAAGATCGAAGACTCTCGCATTGAGCCATATGCCACACCCAGGTTGACAGTGCCCTGTTTGAAGTCTGCATGGGGAATGGAGATAGACCGGGGTTGACAGCCTTTTCACCTCCACGACTATGCCTCATCAGCCTTGGGCTATCTAGCCAGCCTTCGTCGCACTGATAATACCTCAACAATGGTCCCGCTGACCTGACAATGGGTTCCTCGATGCCATGAACCATATCACACGGGGCGTGTTGTATGGATCCAGGCTTTTGTAAGTACTTAGGGTCTACGCAAGGCCTGAGCAGTTGACTGCCTCGAAGCTGCGACCTTACAAGGTTGGCCGCTAGGGCTAATGTGTCGCAACAGATATCTATCCTGGCAACTCATCGAATATAGCTCCAGAACCGCCGTACATTTCTGCAACCATCATACTTGAGACAACCTTCTGTCCGAGCGACCAGCCGTCCAAGTGTGACCGCGGCGCTTTTACAAAAGCTGCTGATAAAATGTCGAGATATATAATGCAGGCATCGAGTCAAGGCAACGAGACTATCAAAGCACGACAAAGCTGGAAGAACAGCACCAGACACTCACAAAGTCCTCCAGTGTCTCAAATTCCTGACGTCCTAACCTGCAGATTGCGCGAGCCATGAAAAACTGCGTCGAACTTCTAGCTCTTTTCATCTGTCTGATTTCCGACGTCGAAGCCTTCAAGGTTTCCTTTTACAAGAACACCAATTGCGCTGGCGAGTTCCTCGGGACATGGGTCGGAGGAGAAGGCCAGGGTTGCCGGCAGGAATACGCGTAGGCATCACTACAGGATCAAAGTTGCGCGTTGAAACCTAACATATTTTAGCGGTCTAGCTGAGGGAGTCGTTGTCGAATCTACTGGATCAGTCGATGATTCTACGACCGTGCAATTCTATAACTCGGAAAACTGTATACCAGGAACTGAAGTCAGCCAGGCCAATGTAGGATGTCTCACCGTTGACCAAGCCGTCATCGGGGCATACAAGTCATTCCAGGTCATCCCAAGCAATCCATCAGCCTCGAACTCAGCGTCCAAGCGTCGTTCTCCTATCGATCGTCGGTATCCTTTCTCGCTGGCCTCTACCGCCCCGAGGGTCCCTCCAACCCCAACGATTTACCACGGAATGGATCTTTCATTTGATGGCGTCAGTTACAAATTGCATCAGATATATGCGAATGCCTACGTAGGCATACTCCCTGATGAGTGGGATGATACGGTCCATATCATGAACGACAATGAGCTGGTCCTTCAAGACTTTATCAGAAATATCACAGAACGAGAAATTGACCAACGAGACTTGGTTTCGTCTTTGTGCGATATATTTACCGCATGCATCTCGGCTGCGGAACAAGACGCAGTGAAAATAAGGGACGCGCTTACCCCGTATGCCAACGTGGTAAAGACAGCAGCGCAAGCCGGTGGGCAGAAAGTCTTCGACTTCTTAAAAGCCCCATTCTTCCATCAAGTCGCGGTTGGTGAGTGAAATACAGTAACCGTGATAAAGAGACGTGCTTCTGACGTTTCGAATTGCAGATACCGTGGCTGGACTGGCTCCGGCTGTCGTCGGAGGCGTTGTTCAAGCTGTGGTAGGAGCCCAGGTGGCCGGCAACACAAACAATGCTGCATCTTGTTCTCAAGAGAAAGATCAAATTGACGCCCTCATATCGATAGTGCAGTCTCAAATATCGGCTCTGGACGCGGCTTCAGCAAAGATAACAGCTCAGCAGAATGATGCTGGTGACGAGGTTTTCACCGTGACTGTGACGGTTGTGGCCTGCGGTACAAGCCTCGTTGGCGCCAATTGCGGCGTCCCTGCAAGTTTCTGCCCATCTTAGGAAGGGACTTTTGGAGCGTGGAGTCTGACTACCACCGTGTCATTGTGATGTATCAGCAGGTGTTGAGGTATTTGGGTCATGGCGTTTGTTGCTGAATCCTTGTCATCAAGCAACAGGACGAAGTGCCGGAAAGGACTGAGCCATGCATGTACCACTATTTTCCCTTTTGTCTTGAACTTTGTCTTCAGATTTAGCTTCCGCATTTCCTGGTCGTTGCACTGTTGGTACTTGTGTTCCGATGCTGTCGTTTACGAGCAAATGGAAAGAGGATGGACATCTGTACAAGATTAACATGGCCTCGTATCCCGGAAGTTTGACCATTATAAACGGCACGGCAAAGGGGGGAATGCTATACAATAGATATACGAGGTACAAGTGCCTAGTATTGTAAGTATCCGCGCATTTTAATTCGCTGCGAACCAATCAACACCATCCGTCACCCACACCAATCCAGCGTAATAAGCATGAAAAGGGAGAGCCCTTCCCGGCCCACGCTAGCTTGGATGAACCTATCTGCTTTGCTTTGCTTTGCTTTACTTTACTTTACTTTGCACTCTTTCCCATGGACGCTTTCACTCGACACAAGCAGAGCACCCACACCCACCCCGGGGTTTCAGCAATTGCGTCTGTCTACCTGTCTGGGACCCAGAACACTCAATACAAGATTCCAAGGGTTGGTTGATCAACAACAACACAACACCCTCAGCAGAGTCTTCGCTAACAGGGCAGAGTAACTGACTAAGGGTTACAGAATAGTTCCACGCTTCCGCGGGGGACTCGACTTGAAGGCGATAACTCCAGATTGAAATCAATGTCCATTGAATGGCAGAAACTACAGTTTGATGACGGCAAAAAGTTTAAGGTGAAGTGTAATTCTCATTATTAGTCTTTTGTCATAGGCAAACCATCCAATAACCCAGCTCACGCGAAAAGATATCTATTCTATATTTTCCTTTCTCTTCGCCGAGGCGATTGGTACATTGTTCGGTGGAGGTTCTGCTCTCGAACCCGAGCCGGAACTGGTAGTTGGGTTGCGCACTGCACTCGTGTTGTCATCGAGTTGAGCAAAATCGGCTGCTGCGGTATTGCCCAACTCATCTTCGTCCTCGTCATCCAACTCGCGATACAGCTGCTCGTCCTTCTTCTTCAATTTTTCCCTCGCCTCTTCTCTCATTTTGACAATCTTCAAGTAGTTATAGCTGGCAATGCTGACAATGGTGATGATCAACCCGGTAATGTTAACCATCGACAGCTCGTCATGGAAAATAATTCCTGCGGCGCTGATGGTGACCACCTCTTTGAAGATGCCGCATATACTGAGAGTAACGACACTGGTGCGCTGGAGTAATGTGAACTCACTCGCGATCATGCAGAAGGCGATGCATCCCGGAACCACCAGAAGAAGTAGGGCTTTGACGATCCCATGTTCCCTAACCAGGAGAACGATACCCGTGATGACTGCGGATGGAGTTTCAGAGACGCATGCTATGAAGAACAGCGTGACAAACATGATAGGAGCGATGAAAAACATCGTGGCGAATGGATTGGAAGTTGCAGGATGGCGGAGGAGTAGGATCTGGGTCAGGGCCCACCGGAAGCCGGAAAAGAAGGACGCCGACATGGCTAACGCGAAGCCAAGAGCATGAAAGGCTGTTTCACCGGCGACCATCATGAGAACGCCAAAGGTCATGGCGAGAATAATGAGGATGAGTTTGAGGGACGGCTTTTCCAGGCGGAAGAGGAACGCGAACACAAGGACAAAGATTAAGACGGAGGATTTACACATGGTGTAGAATGTTAAGGTGATGAAGCGAAGAGAGGTGTTGCCTAGGCCGATGTCAAGAGACGTCGTCGTTCCCGTGGGCACCAGTCGGGTGATATAGAACAGAGGGGTGATCAGTGGTTTGGAGGGTTGTGTTTCGTCCCCGAACGCTGGCGAGTGGGGTCGAGATGGCCGTAGCGAAGGGAATATCAGAAGGACAGAAGAGGCTAGGATGAATTGCACAACCATGTGTAACGAGGTTGCGAAGAGCGGAAAGTGGAAATCGAGATGGTCGGACGAGAACATCATCTTATTGTACTGTTCGCTGGTCAGCCACTTCCAGGTACCGATACTTCGAGAGAGACTCACAATGGATATGGCCAGAGAGAAGAAATACCACAGGAGAATGAAGACGCCATTGATGACCAGGTTGCGGACGACATTCTTGTCTGCCTCGCGCGCCTCGTCTTTGGATATACCTGTGGTGCCCGCGATTCTGGCATCGAGCCCTTGCCGCCGCCTCTTTCTTTTGTTGTATTTGCCCCTTTCATGTTTGTTCAGACCGCTTTCTCCGTCATCATCAACATCGACATCCGAGTCCAATAGCCCTAGTTCGTGTTCTTCTGATTCTGACATGGAGGAACCTGCCTCATCTTCTGAGCCTTCGCTTTTCGTGTCGGAGATGGAGCCAGTACCTCGCCGTTTGTACTTACGACGAGGGTTGATGAATAGAGGGTCCCTGTCCGCAGGAGTCGTCGGCGGAACGGTGGAAGGTCTTGAATCGTGGTCACCGTAGGATGTGGTCTCCATGGACAGGATGCGAAAGATGAAACGGAGGTGAGCACGTGGAAAGGGGCGACTACTGCAAAGTCATTGGAAAGAGGACATGCGACGGAAACGGCGATGGTATGTATGACTGAGTGGTGGTCTGAGATCCAAAGTAAGAGGAGGAGAGTAGATAAGATGACAACGGCGCAAACGTGTAGCGGATATGGGCAGATCCGAGATGACGGTTTGCGATGAATGAGGGTTGCCCTTGATTGAGAAACAGGGGGTGACCAGGGGTGAGAGGGAGATCTTGGTGTCAGCGAGTCAAATTGCCCAACATGGTAATAATAGAGCCGTTTGAGCTAGCACGTGACGAGATCGACTTTTAGTGCCGGAACAATTTATCCGAGGCTCTGCACAACTGCCTCCAGACTCGCACCAGCTCCCACTACTCCACAAGCAGCTCCAAGTTGAATAGATTACTTCATCTTGCGTGTGAGTAACACTAGTGACCGGTCAGTGGTCGACAAGTATCGAGTTGATGAATCAGGCAAATAGCAGACGCCCAATTCTTGGTTCTGGGCATCAACTTCTCCCAAGTCTGCCTCCCCCTTCCTTAGTCATCCGTATTTGTCTCTTTTGGTATGTCCCCGTGATGCCATGCTGAAACCTTCGACTTGAAACTCTTCCCCAGATTCTTGTCTTTACTTCAGCGGCCTGGAACATCCCTCCTTGCTCTGCCATATTTCCCCCCAGATACTACGGCTCATCTGCATTCATCATGGGTGAATTGGCGCGACAAGCGAAACCCCTCCAGATCGAGGACTATGGCCTCATCGGTGATATGCGAACCTGTGCCTTGGTCGGAAAGAATGGAAGCATTGATTTCATGTGCTGGCCTCACTTCGACTCGCCGTCTATCTTTGCAAATGTTCTGGACACAACTGAAGGCGCGGGAGGGCATTGGAAGATCAGCCCACAGAGCAGCTCTGTGTGCAAACAAAACTATCGAGCATCTTCCAACCTTCTCCAAACGAAATGGATAGACGAAGACGGGGTGGTCAATCTGACCGACTTCTTCGCGGTTTCAAAGCATAACAAAGTGCTGCGAGAGAAATGGAGCGGATCGACCTTGGTGCGAAAGGTGGAGTGTGTTCGGGGGAAGATGTCCATCTACATCGAACTGTGTCCTCGCCCAGATTATGCACGAGATCAAGGCTTTATGAAAATCTCCGACGTCCAGAGCGAGGAGGGCACCTATCACCAGACTCTAACTTGGACTCCCAACAACAAGGACAAGGTTGGATCTGCCGACATTCCAGAATTTCACGCCAGCTTCTGCACCCACGACCGGCCGGTGAGCTCACAACCCAAGATGTTCCAGCACGTCAAGCCCGGCGAAACTGCTGCCAGTGACAGCAAATCTCCACTGTCACGAGCCCGATTCGACCTGCAAGAAGGGCAGCAGATCTTCATGATTATGTGCAATCGCCACGTCGCACCCCATCTCACAAAGGACCTCATAATGAACCTCGAAAACGATGCCTATAGATTCTGGACAAGCTGGGTGCGTGCGTGCCTTTACCGCGGCCGCTTTCAGCAAGAAGTCGAACGGAGCATGCTCATCCTGAAACTGCTGACCTATGACCCCACGGGTGCAATTGTCGCGGCACCGACCTTCTCGCTGCCCGAGGCCATCGGTGGACCACGGAATTGGGACTACCGCTATTCGTGGGTCCGTGATGCCAGCTTCACCGTCTACGTGTTCCTCAAAATGGGCTTTCCCGCCGAAGCCGAAGCCTATATCAACTTCATCTTCGCCCGCATCGCGGAATGGCGTAAGAAAGCCGAAGCGTCCAAAGGGGAGAGACACCATCTCCCTCTGATGTTTGGCATCGACGGCTCCACGAGCCTGCCAGAACTCACCCTCGATCATCTCGGTGGGTATCAAGACAGTGTGCCCGTCCGCATTGGCAATGCCGCCACCGACCACGTCCAGCTCGACATCTACGGCGAACTCATGGACTCGATCTACCTGTTCAACAAGCACGGCAAGCCGATTTCGTACGCCCAGTGGCTCGACATCCGCTACCTGACCGACTTTGTGTGCGAGATCTGGAACGAGCCAGACATGTCCATCTGGGAAGTCCGCGGCCGCAAACAGCACTTTACCTACTCGAAAATCCTACTGTGGGTCGCCGTGGACCGCGCCCTCCGCCTCTCCGAGAAGAGGAACTTCCCCTGTCCGAATCGCAACAAGTGGCTCGAGACCAGAGACACCATCTACGAGCAAGTGATGCAAAAGGGGTTCAACTACGACATGAACTGCTTCGTGCAGAGCTACGAGTCGAACAAGACCCTAGACTCGGCCGTGTTGATTGCGCCACTGGTCTTCTTCATGAGTCCGAATGACCCCCAGTTTGTCGGCACCTTGGATCGGATCTTGCGGACGCCGGAGAAGGGGGGACTGACGAGTGCCGGATTCGTGTTTCGGTACGACCATGAGCAGACTGATGACGGTGAGTACATCCCCTTATTCGCTCTTTCTTCTTGCACATATTGTCTGCTATTCTATCAGCCACACACTGGCCTTTCCAATACTGACCTTGGCTGTTCTGACAGGCGTGGGCGGCCGCGAAGGCACCTTCGTCATGTGCACTCTATGGCTGATCGAATCCCTCATCCGTGCCGCAAAATACGACTCCAAGTACCTCGAGCGTGCGCAGACCATGTTTGAGACGGTCACAAACTTTCGCAACCACGTCGGTAAGTGTTTTCCACCCTTTGACTCATGTTCTCGTTGTGGCTTTAGGTGAGTTACTCAGCTGCTAACAACGTCGTGTCTGTTTGTGCTCCTTCCAGGCATGTTGAGCGAAGAAATCGCCCTCTCGGGTGAACAGCTGGGCAACACGCCGCAGGCATTTAGTCATTTGGCCTATGTCTCTGCCGCGATCAATCTGGAGCGGGTCACCAGGGGGGACTTTGAGGGCGGGTTTGGGAAGTAGACAGTAGAAACAACCTGGGAGCGGGAGCGGGAGCGGTAGGGATTGGAATGAAACGAAAACTGGAAAACTTGGTCATGACGATCAATGTTGAGAATCTTTCTCATGTTCTTCTCAGAACGTCTAGCTCTCTTGGTTATCGATCGAGGTGTATCTCGATCTGGTCCCATCTTTTGAGAACCTGTGTGATGCACATTTCATTCATCCACGGAGACGATTTGTGTCTCTCTCTCCCTCTGCTGTGCTGTGCTCTGTTGTGCTTTCCTGATACCTGGTACATGGTAGTGCGTACGTTTTCCTTCACCGAGTCCGTCCTGACTCTTTGTGTACTGCAATGCTACCTCGTCCTTTGGACGATGTACCTTTCTCTCCCCACCAGGGCCAGCCTGTGGGATTAATCTGTTGTTCCTTCCTCTTTCCTCCACCGAGTCCGTCCTGACTCTTCCATGTACATCTGTTGTACGTCCTTCCTTATTCCTCCTCTGAGATGATTGATGAGTCGTCTGCATTTTCCTCAGCTTGCTCAGTTGCCGATGTTACGGCCTGGTTTGCTTGTGCTTGTGGAGGATGGACTATCTGCGCTTGAAGGTGTTGAAACACCTGCGCTTGTGGTGCCCGAGGTGCTTGCCCTTGCTGAGCTTGAGCCATGTGAGCGTGCTGCAGTCTTGTGGACGGTAGAACACCTTGATAGTGACGTTTGGTCAAAATCTTCTTTGTGTCCTGGATCGGTTTTCCGTCCTGAATGTCTGAGCTGGCAATGCGTTTCTGAGGTCTTGGTAGGAGCGTCGGTGGGTTACCGATCTGGGCTCTCGGTTCTTGTTGGACTTCGAGATCCTGCGCTTGTTTCTTGTACAGATCTGCTTGCATGCGTGCTGCGTCCACTTGACCTTCTTTGAACTGCAAGTCGAGTTGCATGTTCTGGACCGACGCCTGAGCTTCATCGAGCTGCGTCTTCCAATTTTCAGCCGCTTCTTGGGCTTGTTTAATGTCTTCTTTGTCTTCTTCGAAGAATTCTTTGGCAAAAGCAACGTCCATGGCTTCGTCTGTCATTTGATCTTGAAGCTTCTTGTTCTCCGCCTCTAATCTGAGCTTTTCTTGCTCGAGCTGTTCCTTGGTATCCCACAGATTCTGGAGATCCTGCGCCTGCGCCGCAATTCTAGTTTCAAGCTGCTGCTTTTCGATTGCGTGCTTCTTCATGTCTTCTGCATGTTCGCGGACCTTGTTCTCGAGTATCTTGGTGACGGGAGTCTTGGTCGGTGTAGGGAAGGGTGAGGATCCTATGCGGTCTGATCTTGGTGTACTGACTGCAACTTCGGAATTCAACTTGTGCTGGTCAATTTCTCGTCTCAAATCGCAAATTTCGTCGTCTTTGGACATGACCTGTTTCTGCAAGCTTTCGACTTGGCTGTTTTGCATGAGGACTTGGACATCTCTGTCACGCATCTGGAGCTCAGCTTTCAATTGCTTTTCGAGTTCCTTGTACGATTTCTCTTTCGTGTCCAACTGTTGCTTCGTATCGTATCGGAGTGCATAATACTGCTTTGCGCCGTTCTCGAACTTCTGCTGGGTTTCTGCAAGTTTCGCCTTGGTGTCTAAGTTCTCGGAACGCAGTTTTGCCATGTCAGTCGAGAGTGCTTCTGCCCGTCCTCTCCAGTATTTCACCTCTTCCGCGACTGGCTTCTGTTGCTCGGCGCTCTCTTTGCATTGTTTCAGCTGCTCTTGGAGATTTGCTGCCTCCTGTTCTCGGTAGCTGATGAGCTGTCTGAGATGCTCCACGTCCCGCTTGCGCTGTTCCAGTTCTTGGCCGCCTTTGGTGTTCCAGGAGCGCAGCTCATTTGCCTCCTTTAGGGCCTTCTGTAGGTCCCCATTGCAGCTGACGAGGTCGTCCGAGGTCTTCTTCCACGCTTGCTGGTACGCTGCCAGCTCCTTCTCCTTCTCTCCAAGCGCCTCCTTGCTTGAGAGCAGCTCGATCTCCAAGTTCGCAGACGCGGCTTGCTGAGATTGGATGTCCAGACCGATGCACTCGGTTTGAGTGCCTGCTTCATTGACATCAACCGGTGGGATCACCGGAGATGCCTCCGCAGTAAGATCGGTCTGAACACCAATCTCTGCGGTGTCCACCACAACAACCGCGGCGAAGACCTGGGCCTCCGCAAGCTGTGCCTTCAAGACGCTGATCTCAGCGTCCTTCTGTCCGCGAACCTGGTCCGCTGCTGCCCGTTCGGCCTGGGCTGCCTCCATCCTCACCTTTTCGAGGAGGGCTGACTCGGCGTCCCTCTCACGCCGAAGCACAGCAACCTCCTCACCAAGTCTCTGAGAAGCCAGCTTCTCAGATCCAAGGCGAGACTCGAGATCGCCAGACTTGGCTTCTTGAGCCTTCAGAGAAGACCTGAGTTTGTGAGACTCGGCCTTCTCAGCTTCAAGAGCTGTCGTCATGGCATTGACTTTCGAAGTCGCCGAAGCGACAACGGCCGTCTTCTCGGCCTCTAAGGCTCGGACCCGCCCATCTCTACGAGCGGTGGCAGCCTCGACGTGCGCATCAGCGTCCCCGTCGCAGGCCTCAAGCTCAGCGATGCGGCCTTGGCGCTCCTCAAACGCCTCCCGCCATCGCTGGCTCTCCTTGTGCGCTGCCCGACAGTCCTGACGTAGCTTGCGGACAAGCTCGAGTTGGAACCAGTGCGGTTGCTCTCCAGAGAGCACCCGCTCACGGATCCAGATCCCTCGCTTGTCCTTGGGCTCCGCTTGAGACCGAAAGCGCGCAATCTCTGCTGCGAGCCGCGCATTTGCCTCACGGAGCTGAGCGTTGTCCAGCAACGCCGCCCTGAGGGCTTCGCGGCCGCCCCTCAGGCGGAACAGAAGTTCCGAGGTTGAATTGACGAGGGCGGCGACGAATTGTTTGCGCTTTTGGAGACACCTCAAGACGGGTCGACTCATTGAGTCCCAGGCATTCTTGAGTGTACTCCAGTGTGGCCAGTTGACGATCTTGGCGCAGAGAGATTTGAGAGAGCAAAGGAGGTGCCATGTGGTGCTGCAAAGTTTCCAGGCGACCAAAACCATGCCAAAGGCGATGGCGACGAGGTCGAAAGAGTCCTTGCACTTTTGCGTGCACCTTGACATGAAGGGGGTGACGAGGCGGTAAATTGTCGTAATGGCGCCACGCCCCTCTTGGAGGAAGAAGAAGGTGATGAGGATGTAACAAACGATGGTGGTTCCGGGTATTCCTAGCACGTGTGCCATGAGTAGCAACAGTGCACCCGCGTGAAGGGTCTTCATGATGTCCTTCAAATATCGTGACATCGCTTGTTGGAGTTGTGGGAGGCCAGCCTCCGGGTTTTCTGCTGCCTCATAGATGGCAGAGAGGATTTGATGGCGTGCGAGGTGGTAGATGAAGTAGAATATGCACAGTCTGGTCACCACCAGACCGTAGTCCTCCCAGGTGCTATCTTCGGCCATGGCGAGTTTCAAGAACTCCCACATGGAGGACGCTTGTTCTGGCACTGTTGCCATCTTGGCAAGTTTGTGGCGGACTTGTCGAGGAGGAGGGTTCTTTCAGCAAATTGCTGACGGTGGTGTTGTGAAGGGTTTCTGGTCGAGGGAGAGAGGAGAGGAGAGTGGTGGCTGTGAGGTCGTGACTGGACCCAAGGAAGTGGTCTTGTGATGAGAGAGGTTAGCTTCTGTGCAAAGAGCGTGTTTTCAAGTCTCATGAAGTCTTGAAGGTCGATGTGGTCAACTTACAGTGGTTGTTGATGTGGAGGGTTCAAACTTGAGGGCAGACGGAGGAGGACAGGCGATCGCAGAGGAGGACAAAGAGGTGGCTTTGTTTGAAAGCGAGGAAATGTCGACGATGTGTGCCTGGTCAGATTTTTGATTGTGTGAATGAATAAATCAAGTCTGTGAATAGAAACTGAGAAAGTGAGATGAATGAATGAATCCTTTGTTATTCACACGGTGAGTGAATTCAATGTCTTTTCCTGTTTCTGCCGGACCATTCTTCTCAATGTACCCATGATACTCCTTGGCGAACCACACATTAGAGGCCATACAATTGAACAATATCAACCTGCTGTTCCCATTGCTGTGCTTTTCCATAGTGGTCACCAGTTTTACTGGTCGCCCAAAAGTGGCTGACGTTCCCCCTTTCCATTTCCGCGGCCTTTCTTCTTTTTCCGGTGCTTTTTCTTCTTGGAATCATTGTCCTGGAGTTGAGGAAGATCTTCATGACTGCCGCCTCGTAATTTTACCGCCGACATGTTTTTACGTGCATCGTGCGTGTGGTGTCCTTTATTGGCTCCCGAATTTTCTTCCTCCTCATTCGACTCGCTGCTGGATGTCATCTCTAGGACGACCTTTCGGAACCCGTTAGTGTCAACAATGTTTTCTGTGATACTACCACTTCGAGCTGGACCCTTGGAGTGGTAATAGGGGCTTCTCGACGGTGTTCGTGAATTAGGCAAGCTACCAATTGTGCTCTGGGTTTCCGATGTTCTTGCGGGTGGGCGGGATAGTTGTATGTCTCTGGCTTCAGTGATATGATGATTCGATTCTTGTTCGTGTGCCGAGTCGGTCTGTGATTCTTTCAAAGCACTGTGAGGCCTTCTTTCGTTCGGAGAGCCAGAAAGTGAGCCATATCCCTGTTTCAAGGCTTGCACGCCTCCAGAGGCAACTTTACCACCCGAGTTGAGCATGCCTTCACCAATTCCGGTTTGGTATTCTGAGACGTTTTCGGAGATCCGTCGAACTGCAGGGGCTCGGGTTTCCTCCTCCTTGGGCGCTGCGCTGGTGCCAGGCTTGATTTTCACGGTGTTGTACCTCGTAGACCTTGGCCTGCTCGCTAGATTGGACGGCCCAAGATGTTTCAGGTGCTCCTTGAGTTCATCTGTGCTTGCAGCTCTTCGGCCAGCTTTGCCGTCCCCGCCCGCGCTGTTTCCTCCACTCGAGCGTCTTCTAGCACCCGGTAGTCCCTTGACCCTCTGTGGTGGATTATCCGCTGTTTTCGCCCTCTG